TTCCTGCTCGGGGGCAGGGGCACGGGCACATCCTGGCATGAAGCCTGCCATGGCCACAACAAAGGCTATGTTTATATCTAGCCATGCCCAGAGCCGATGTCTAGGGACAGTGAACCCTCCCTCACCACCACATAATGCACGAACCATCCTTTCCTTTTCCTCAGCCTCCGACTGGGAGAGGGCAATGGCCAGCTGGAGCTCCTCCTCCTCCTGCAAGGCTGTCTCATCACGCTTTGGGGGCAGCTGCAGATGGACAGAGGACCCGCTTAACGAAGTTGGGACAAGGGGAGCTGCTGGGGCCAGCCCAGAGGCCAGCGAGGGCCAGCCCACCTACCTGGGACTGCTGCGAAAGGGGGCTGGTCAGGTACTCAGGGGGCAGCTCAGAGGTGGCAGCAGCTTTGCCCTCGGCTTTCCTGCCATCAGAGAGGTGACAATGCAGAGTGGAGCTGGCGGGCAGCCTCCTGGGCCTGACCTGGCACCACCACGCCTCTACCCTCCCATGCTGGGAGGATGGCAGCGTAGCCTGGGCTCTGGGGGTGCCCAAGCTGCCTTATGCCAGCTTGCCCAGCTCTGGGGGGCCAGGATCATGGAGGCAGCCACAGCCCTGTGCCAAGATCCGCCCTGCAGCCCACCCCCAGCCCCCAGTACTGACTTGTTGAGGTGCTCGTAGCAGGGCTCGCACACCCGCACCTCCTTCTCGATGCCAAACTTGGGGATGGTGGAGTACTTGGAGGAGCACTTCCCACAGAAAATCTGCCCGCATGCCCGGCAGTGATGCTGCAGACGGGTATGGCAGGAAGGGTCAGCTTGGTGGTTGGATCCCCCCCAACCAGTGGGCAGCACCACCCAACACCCCAGCCCCTTGCTTACATCTGAGCAGCGTGGGGTGTTCACTACCCCTTCAGCCACTCCCTGAATGTGCCCAAGCACATGGCTATGGCACTTTGCCAGCACCAAGGGGAGGACCCTGGGAGGGACAGGGAGCAGCACCCACCTTCCGTGTCATGACCCCAAACTGCACTCGGCATCGGTGACACTCCTCAGCATCCACCCAGTCAGGAGCCTGCAGAGAGAACAGAGCCCTGCATGAGGAAGGGCCCAGCACCAAGACGCCACTGACAAGACGCTTCCCCTCTCATTGTCTGCTGGGCTCCTGCCCAGGGCCCATGCCAGGCCTTCATGTGGCAGGGGATCGTGCACAAGGGGCCAGCACTGAGCAGGAAGTGCAGTTCCCTGCAGAGTAAATTGCTCTCGGCCCAGACACCAGCTCGGTGCTGACCAGGGATCCTCCAACTGACTGGCTGGTGGAAGGCACCGGGCTCTGACCCCCACAGCTGCCATGGTGTTGGAAGAGCCTTCCGAACAGCACGCATCAGGCCCTGTTGCTTGTGGGATTCGAGTGCCTCTAGTCCTGCCTGCCAGACTCAGGGCGTGGGTCCACCAGGGAAGCACCCCTGCCCTCTCCAAAGGATGTTTTTCTTTCTTTCTTTCTGGCGCATCTCCTCCAGATGACTGCATGTCAGCACGAAGTGCAGAGCCCAGCAACTCTGCTGTGCAGCGAGGGATGCGAAGGCAGCGCTGCCGACTTCCCACAGGGCTCACCCGCTCTGCTGCGAACATGGCGTCGCTCTCCTTGAATTCCGGAAAGACGTGACCTGCAGAGAGTTGGAACGAGACCCTGTTCTAGCTGAGGGGGTCCCCCAATGGAGTGGCAGAGCCAGGTGCTGAAGGTGGGGGGCTGCAAGCTGGAGCTTGTGGGTTCCAGCTCACTTCCATCACTTGGTTTCCGATCCCCAGGGGTAGAACTGCTCTGCTGGGGAGATGCCCTTGCACCCACTGGCAAGGAGTTTCCAGGACAATGTCCCCATGTCCAGCTGCTCAACCCCATGGGGCCTGGTGGGGTGCAGGCCCCGAGTGAGGCAGTCCCTCTGCTGCCCCACCAGGACCATCAGATGGTGGAGGACACTGAATAAAAGCCCAGCTATATGGGTCCTTCTCCCAGCACCTCCTGGCCCTGCTGCCTGTCCTGGGCCCCCCCATGATCTCTCCTCCCCCACCCAGACCTGGCTGTCAGTGCAGGAGACTCAGCACCCACTTTGACCCACCAGCTCTTTCCTACCTTCCACCTTCATGATCTGGTAGGTGTCCTGCACCACCTTGTACTTGGGCTCGTTGCGGAAGGCGTGAGCCCAGGCCTGAATCAGATACAGGATCTTGTTGCGGACACTTGCTTCCACCTGTCTCTGCACAAAAGGGAAGCTGTGTCTGAGTGGAGAGCCCCGAATCTGTGGAGCAGGGGCTGCTTGCTCCTTTAGCCTGCAGCTCCTCCCACTAAGGGAATGGCATGCTTCAGACCTGGGGGTCCTCAGCACAGCAGTGCTCAGCCAGTCCATCACTTGTGCTGTAAACAGGGAGCTCCCTCCTACACAGGCCCCATCTCTCAGGCAGGGGAAGGGTGCCAGGGAACAGGAACTTTTGATCATACCCTGCAGCTGCAAGGGCAGAGCACGAGCTGACAGCCAACCACCCCCAGTTGCTGCCTGATGGACAGCAATTCTAGCGCAGTGTTTTCTGTCCAGGGATATCCCAGCCTCAGCCCCAGCAGTGGGGGGCAGTGCCTGGCAATTCACCTTCAGGGGACA